TTCTTTTTACAGAATGATTTTATATTTGTTACTGTAGGCAGGATATTGACTGAATAATAATACTGCTTTTATTTATTTATTATAATATATTAACATAAATAAATGAATAATTTATTTATGTTCAAATATTATTATTATATATTGTATGTATTATATATTCAATGAATTCAGTGTTTTGAATAATAAAACTGATAACTTTTATAAGAGTAATAAAAATAATAAGTGCTATTATTATTGTTGTTGTATTATTGAGTTTCTTTTTACCACCGCTCAAGGTTGCTTTACAGCAGAGAAGGAAAATTGCTCGTTTATTATGAACTTAACTATATATAAATATAATAATATATTGAATAACAATAATAATAACAACTATTGTAATTGCTTTTTAAATGCGTTTATTGTTGTTGTTATTATTATTATTTACAGGGAGTTGCATAATAATAATAATAATAATTGTATTTACTGAGTGCCTTTTTTGCTTCACAACAGATAATCTGCTTATTTTAAATATATATATTTCATATGTTTTTCTAATAATTTGTAAGTTTTCCAATAGAAAAAAAAAACATTTCATAAATGTAACCACAGTTGCATTAGAACACATGGGGGAAAAAAACATCAAAGCAATATAATTTCACAAGTATCAATATTTTAACAATATATAAATAACAATAAATATAAATAACGGTTACCTAATGCCTATTTTAGCATGAGTTACAATATTATAAAAAGTAAAAAAGATGGTTATGAATAATAATGTAATAAATTATTTGAATGTTAATGTGTTTTATTGCCTTATGTTTTAACTATGAATACTATGAACTACATAAATATTATAATGTATTTAGTTGCACTAATTACTATTGTTCTAGGCGTACATAAACAGTGAAATCTGAAGTCATGAAGTCATAGTCCATATTAAAATGAAGAGGTGCATGGGAATGCAGTCACGGGGCACTACGATCCTTCACTCCCCCGTCCCACTCCTCCCTGGCGTTTGCCCAGCGGGCCGGACGGTTGGCGATTGCCGGACGGCCTTTATTCCGCCATAATAAATGTGTCTTTGTGGCCTCATATAGGCAGCACAAGCAAACTGTTGTTGACAGCAAACACTGCATCTTGTGTGGGGCTCGCTGTCCTGACAGCCTTTCTCTGGGGTCAGATGGATATAACGCCCCATGAACAAATCAATAATCCATCTCTCTCCCTCTCTATACTCTGTGTTGATTTGTTCATCACATTGCAATCTGGGAGTGGACTGCCTCAGATGACTGGTCAATTATGGCTGCTGAATTGTTTTGCAGTGATGAATCAGTGATCTTGATCCAGTCTAAGATGTGTGGGTCAGGTTTATAGTTATTTATTTATTTATTTTGGTTAATTTTGGGCACTGGATATCCCTAATGTCAAGGTCAACAGCTCTGTCACCTCTACGGCACTACACTTCCCAGCATCCCTCATGTTTTCCACCTGCACAGTATCGGCCATCACCTGATCACCCATCACAGCTGTTTGCCTTGTTTTCCGTTAACCAGTGTTCATCTGTGTTTGTATTTAGTTCCTTTCTGTTCAGTCAGTCTCTGTCCGTTCTACTTTGTATCGTGTGTGTGTGTGTGTGTGTGTGTGTGTGCCTTCTGCCCATCTGTACCTGTGTCAGTTGTATTTGTAAGTAAACACTTTGCTATTGGAACTTCTGACTCCTCTGCACGACACCTAAACAGTTGAACATTAACTTAAATAATTAAATTAAATTAAATGCATTAAATTAAAATAATGAGACCATTTTATTTGTAATATTAAATTAAATAAAAAAACGAAATAAATTAATAAAATAATTTGTAAATGAGACTTATTTTAAACTTGATATTAAAATAATAATAATAATAATAATAAAATTAATTAAATGATACCATTTTAAATGTAATATTAAATTACATTTAAAACTAAATAAATTCATACAATAACTAATAAATAAACAATAAACAAAATAGTGAGACCATTTCACAGATAATCTTGATATTAAATCAAATTAAATAATTATTAAATTTATCAATAAATAATAAATCTATAATAAAACAATGTAAAATAAACAAAAAATAATTAATAAAATAAATTAAAAACACACTAATATGAGACCCTTTAACAGTTAAACTTAATAGCCTATTACAACCTATTAAATTAAAATACATTTTAAAACTAGATGAATTATTAAAATAAATTAATAAAATGAGGCGCTTCAACAGTTAAACTTTAATATTCAGTCAAATTAAATGTTAATGAATAAAATAAACAAAATAAATGTATAAAATAATCTAAATAATGAGATCCTTTAACAATTAGACTACTAAATCAAATTAAATTAAATGAGTGCTTTATGGTGCACTAATCTGGTGCTATAACAGTTAAACTATGATATTAATTGTGTTCTCCATCATAATTTTAAATTGTGTGTGTGTGTGTGCGTGTGTGTGTGTGTGTGTGTGTGTCCTAGTCTGGCTGTGAATAATCACCTCTGTAAAAAACGACAGAATAAATGAGCTTTTGTTGGCCGCTGGATTGAGGAACCTGTTCTCTCCCTGTATTGTGTCAGCCATATGATTGGCGGCCCAGTGCACTCTGGGATACGGGTGGAGGCCTGACAGAGGACTCATTCTGAGCTCCAGCCACGCTCAAGATCACATGCTCTCATTGACTACTGTTTCCTTCCTGCTATGTCTATCACTTCTATCAATCTCGACTAAAATGAAGTGAAAGAAACAAAAATATACAAATGGTAAAAAGGTATTTAATGCCAATATTTACTTGCCTGTTTAGGTTAGTTTTTAAATGCTCAAATCCTTTTTATTTCATTTTTATCTTTGAGTGGGTCTTTTCGATCAAATCTAAAAGTAGTTATAAGAACATTTTAGTTACTGTGAAATCCCATTGGTCGGAGCTACTACTTAAAATATTCTGAAACATAAAAAGAATAATTTTAGTGCTGTCAAATCGATTAATCGCGACTGATCGCATCTAAAAGTTTGGAAGCATTATTATTTTTAATGTTTTTGAAAGAAGTAAAGGTATCCAAAGCACATCAACTGACCACAGGGGTTCCCCAGGGTTCAGTTCTTGGACCGCTCCTCTTCTCCATTTACACCACATCACTGGGACCCATCATACAGGTACAAGGTTTCCCTTACCACTGCTATGCTGATGACACCCAGCTCTACCTCTCATTTCAACCAGATGATCCCACAGTAGCTGCACGGATCTCAAGCTGTCATGGCTGACATCTCGGCATGGATGAAGGAACATCACCTGCAGCTCAACCTGGAAAAGACTGAGCTTCTCGTCCTCCCTGCCAATCCGTCTCTACAGCACGACTTCACTATCCAGCTAGATACTCCCTCAATCACCCCATCAAGGTCGGTCAGAAATCTTGGAGTAATCTTTGAAGATCAGCTGACCTTCACAGACCACACTACAAAGACAGCTCGATCATGCAGGTTTGCAATGTACAACATCAGGAAGATCAGGCGCTGAGCAGGCAACACAACTTCTCGTCCAGGCCCTGGTCATTTCTAGGCTTGATTACTGCAATGCTCTTCTGGCTGGACTTCCATCATGCACAACTAAACCTCTACAAATGATCCAGAACGCTGCAGCTCGTCTCGTCTTCAACGAGCCCAAAAGGGCCCACGTCACTCCTCTGTTCATCTCTCTGCACTGGCTACCATTCGCCGCTCGCATCAAGTTCAAGGTGTTGACACTTGCTTACAGATTGACCACAGGCTCAGCTCCCTCCTACTTCCAATCGCTACTACAAGTCTACATCCCTACCAGAAGCCTACGATCAGTCAATAAGTGACTGCTCGTGGTACCATCACAGAGAGCCACAAAATTACTAGAACATTCTCATTCACGGTATGCTGGTGGAATGATCTGCCCACCCTCATCCGGAATGCAGAATCCCTGACAGCATTCAAAAGACAACTGAAAACTCATCTCT